TTAGTGTGTAACAACTGAACAATAATAGCCTATTACCTGTACTTAGCTACTTAACATTAGAATTTCCTGGAGCATCGATCCCCTTGTTTGTTACATTAACTCTTAACCATACCCAATAAGAAATAAGTGCAGTTTCTGCAGCTGCTCAGACAGATGTTCAAGCAGGGTTGTAAACATTGCCTCGTTTTTATAGTTTTGCGTGTTATTTGTCAGTTTACGTTCTGTTTCCAAAAAATAGTTGTGTAAGCTAATTTCATTATGCCTGATATGGTTTATGTGAGTATTCAGCTTTAGTTTAATTCTGCAATTGCAGTAACGATGTGATTAACTACGCTAAAATTACTGAATTAGATATCAGTGGCCCACCTGTGAGCGGCAGAGGGATAGATAATTTTTTAATAAAATTGATGGTTCATAATTTAAAAAGTAAAAAAATTTTTAATAGTAAAGTACGATATCGGGAGAATTTTTTTTAAGGTGTAGCACAAGTTTAAGTAGAAACATATTGTAGGTATATTACATACTGACAGACTGAAGCGGCACCCTGTATTGTATATATTGAATGGTAAAATAATGCTGCCCGCTTGATATTCATTTTACTTTCTACAGTTCTATAGGAACTTTACTTTCTATTTGTGTGCCTCACTGAATGAACTGATGGCTCTACATCATCATCAGTACGTTGCCAAGGGCTTAAAATCTGACAAATCGTGGGACTTTTGTACCTAGTAAAATCGTTGGCTTTTTTTATGTCTTGATTTGGCTTTTTTTGATCGCTGGGGTCTGGCAACCCTGTGTAGGGTTCCCAATGGTTTCAACGTGGCGAGTTGAAAATGCGCGACAAACTTCCAGCTTTTTTAAGTAAAACCAGGTAACAAAAATGCCTCTACCCTAACTTAATTAGTCCACTTTAGGCCGACGTTGACACGATTTTTAAACGGTCGGTTGGGCAACAACTTCATGATTCTCAGATCGCCATGGCGACTGATTTAGATGCATTTTTGATTCCTTTTCCACGCAACACTCGGAAGATGCTCGCGGAACATTAGTGTTCAGCGGAACACAGTTTGGGAAGCGCTGCTATATTGAATTAATCATGCTAACTGAGCTAAGTGACTTGCGGGCCGCACTAACATTAAACTTTGATACCAAGGTGGGAGCCACAAACTATCATCCTGCGGGCCGCAATTGGCCCCCGGGCCGCGAGTTTGAGACCCTCGCACTAAAAATTTCAAAGCAATTGGTCCAGTAAACAAGTAGAAAAGCGATAGGTAAAAGAAGAACATGACGAAGGACAACCACAACATAAAAACAAAACGATCCAATCGTGCGATTATATATGACGTGGAGTATGAAAAACGCTGTCAAAATATTATCGGATATAACAAAATGGGCTATGATCGGTGAATATTCGGATCTAAAGTTACGATAAGAGAACATAAAACAAGACATTTTTAGTATAAAAACACCTTGAAAGTTCCGCGCCGGAAATTTTACGGTCGTCATTATCATCGTTACTCGCGGCGTGGATTGAACATCTGGCATTCGCGCAACGACGTAAAGCGTGTTTTGTCTTCACGCACGCACTTTTCGCTCTAGTTGCGGTGACGTAGGGAGGGAATTCACCATCCGAAGTTAGATATTATTTATTTGCGTAGTGACAGATCATAGAAAGTGAGACAATTAAGACAGAAAAAAATGATCCGATCGCAAAATTTATATGCAGACGCAGAGAATTACATCAATTCAATGTTTTTCCTGTTCGACGCGAATTGGACAACAAACGGCAGAGTTGTGGATTAAAATGTAGTGAAATAATCCGAAGTTTACTGGTTTTACGGTAGTTGAGCTTAACAATAAACTCAAACTCATCCTAAAAGTAGATTAGGTACTGGTCGATATCTATACCAACCAATGTAGTTCTCCCACTTTTCTTGCTATTAACTAAACTAAGTTTATATCGCACATTACCAGCCAATATAATCGTCATTGTATGTTCCATTAATTCAGTATCATCCAATTTTTAATATCTTTTTCACACATTCTACGTACCTGCTTGCTTACCTCGCGATACCGCGCGCATCATGCAGCATAATTTTCTGTGTCATATGCAGACTGTACTCGTATGACCCCTGTTGAGCTAATAGCAAACCTTCTAATTTTGCGCAGCTGTGCGTTAAATCTCACTTTGTGTTCATTGAAGGATGACATTACAGTTGCTCATTGAAGGGTGGTGGTGTAAAACAAAGTCCAAAATTTCACACAGAGAACATTATTTAGGTTTACAGATACGGAAGAAATACATCACGATAACCAGTAAATTAAAGTATATTTTACCGTAGTAGCATATATTTACGATTTTACCGCAACTTAGGATTAGAGATGTACCGATGTATCGGGTATCGGTATCGGCCATTTTTTTCGGTATCGGCCATGTATCGGTATCGGTTAGAATAAGGCCGATATTTCCGATATATTTACTTTTTTGATATGGTCCAGAATGTTTCAAAAAATAAGTTGGAATACTACTTTCCAATTTAGTTTTTGTCTGGAGAGATCGTGAGCTATGAACCATACGGAAGTAGGATTCACCTGTTTGTAGCTATTTATCAGTCAAACTAGCTCAATCAATTTGACTATTTTCGCTGTCAAATTTTTATATTGACATTTTTAATATTACATTGTAATTATGAAGAAATATATCAACAAAAAAAACTACGTGCCCAGTTTTAAATGATACAGTGGAATTGGAGTAATTATTAACGGCACATGCACTTTTGGTACGGCTATAAATTCCGGCTGTTTGTCGTCAAGTGCGACTGCCATTTAGTCCGTCGACAGCGATAAACTAAATTTCGACACAATTATCAGTCTACCAGGTATTAATTTTAATTTTGTTTAAACACAATTTCTTTATAGATTTTTTGACATGACCGCCTAGACTAGATTGTCTCAAAATATATGATAGCAATTGTGAAATATTATAAAATAGTAAAGTAAAAAAACATCCTCGAAGGTTGAAGGGAGGCCTTCTACTTGTCGGTGCTGATTGTTATTCTTTCATGGTAGCTTTCTTTTATTGCGGCGACGATTACGAATAACCACAAAATAAAATATTTGTAAAATGCTTTTAATTTGAACGAAAATAAAGCATCTTCTTTTGATCAGCGTCTCACTTCCTAAATTGATTTAAAAGGTCTTGCCCGATTTTATATCGTGTCTTTATTTTATTGTGTTCATTTGAATGTTTTTAAAGGACGGGTACTTGTACGTTTTAAACTTTTTCATTAAGTTATGTCCGTCCTTCAGGTGCTCTGTATTTTGTTTCTCTATTTGTTGTTGTTTTGTTCATTTCAGAGTTACCAAAGTAAAATTGATTGATTGAATAACGAAACTAGTGTTTTATGTCACCTGTATAGATTCCGGTATTAACTGCTAATTAAAAGCTAAGTCATGATTAATTTACGTGACACTTTTTGGAAATAGTTCTCATGCCAGCAATTTATTTATACAGAGGTGTAAGATGGTACGGGGGAAAGAGAAATAATCAATATCAACTGAGCCAATGTTGAGGTTGAGGTCTGATCAACTCGATTTACACACTGAGATACCGAAAATTTCTATGGTGCCCTTTTCGTGATGCTTTATGCGCGTGTTTATTTTGCTTAAGTGTTAATCCAACCATGTGCCCCGTGCATTCTTGTAGGACTTAGAACATATTTTAAAATCATGTTAGTTATTAAAACATTTCGTACCCGTGAACGTGTTTTACCTCGTTTCAAATTGTGTATTGTATTACGCAACAATCGCTAAACTTCATTATAATATATCTTGGTAATTTAGGAAGTTTCACATGCATTTTGTAGTATATCGCAAATTCATCAATACATGCAACAGTCAGAACGTAAAAAAATGGTTTTGTTTAATATTTCTCGCTAGCGCTGAAATCAGAAGTCAGTTTATTTTATGTCCTATAATATATTATCGTTATATAGTTTTTTGTCAAGAGATGACAATTTCCAAAATTATGTGAAATCTTGTCATTAATACACCTAATATTAAAAAATGGTTCCAATAAAACTACGAAATTCTACAATTTAAAAAGATCAAAAAAGCCTATTTAGGCAACTTTCAAATCCCAGCAGCGTTCCCTAATGCCCAAGAGGCGTCAGAATTTATTATTTAATATCATATAATTATAGAGAGTTACCTCAAGTTTTTCACACAACTCGAACCTAAGCCTTCTCAATTTTAGAAATTAGGATATTATCATGGCGCAAATGGCCTCTTTCGATAATAAATTAGCGAATATGGCGTTATTTGTCAAAATACACTTGTAAAATAAATGATACCATTTTCAAAGCCTAGCAGCATCGCCTTCCGCTCAAGAGGCATCCGATTTGATTAATTAATATCAAAAGGGTTCACCCGAAGTTTTTCGCACAACTCAAACCTAAGCTTTCTTTATTTTAGATGGCGGAGTAATCCATCCTTCACACACCTGCCATTTTGATACTGTACTTATTACATGCACTCATTGTTGAAGTGGCAAATAAAATAACTCTGATATAACTGACCCAGGAAATATTTATGTTCTCAATATTTAATTATTATAAATTGTGAAAACCAGCATTGATAAAAGAAAAAATAAATCAAGTTGATTAGGATTTTAAAGGAATAATTAATTCTACACATATACCGGTGCTACCGAAGTATGTGTACCCAAAATGGCGCACAAACTGAACCTAGTATGTGTACCAGGTTAGGGTTCAGGTTGTGCGTCATTTTGGTATGCATACTTGGGGAGCGCCAATATATAATCTATCTAATAATCCTTGTAACGCCCGGAATTGGAGACTCAAACTGCGCTACGTTTATACCCAACCACTGTCAAGTACCACGTCCCGGTTCTCCTACAATTTGCAATGCAAACTCGTAACATTAAGTCCCCACTCACAGTCTTGAACTTTTGAACCCAACACCTCAGAAGATCACACGAATTGAAAGAACTTTGTTGTAATATTCCGCTTGAAATCACGACAGAATACGGCAATAACATTCACAATGCACATAGAGTTTGTGGCTCAACTAAAGTTTGAATTTCAATAATACACGCACAGAGTTTGTATGAGTTTGTGATTAACACACTGAGCACTGGGTTTGTGTCAGAGTCTGAGTTTGATTTCAAATATTGATAGATTCCGGGATTAAATAACTAAATAAAATACAGAATAATTAGTAAACATTAATACACAATAAATCCCTGACTATCCTATATCCTAACATAATGATTCCCTAGCTACATTATAAACATAGCAAAATCTACTAACTACAAAACACACTCAACTAAATCCTAAAACACCGGCAAAGCATATGACTGCAGATTGCACCATCACAGCTCGTCTCCGCTCACGCAGAACCGAGAGCAATACAAGAAACTAACTATAGAACAAGAGTCGTCGTCGGTCGATTGCCTCAGCCAATAGCGTGCAAGACAAACATATTGCGACATAGCTACTATTCCCACTCTCTCGAATACGATAAAGAAATAAACAAGAACTACCAAAATGCGACCTGCGTCCATTACACCGGCCCCTAAGAACCGTCTACATCCCACGGTTATTACCGACCACCAAAAGGACGCATGTCTCATTTTCACGAAATGAAAACATGAAAAACAATATATACAAAAATTACACAACTCCCTCTAACAAACACAATTTACGAATGTCTCGCATGTAACAAGAATCCGCAGTCCTCACACGTACACTGCGGACATGCCCATCTGAATCAGGAAATACTTCCTCGATTAACCCTTTCGGCCAGAATCCTCTCTTAGTCTTTTCATCCACAATGAGAACAATATCTCCAATGGCAAAGTTTCTCACAGGCTTGTGCCACTTTTGCCTCAACTGCAATGTTGGCAAATATTCTTTCAACCACCTCTTCCAGAAACAATCTGTCATTAATTGTACCTGGCGCCACGACTTCTTATATCCATCTGCTTTCATGAATTGATCAGGAGGTAGATTCGGATTAGGCCTACCAAGTAACAACATATTAGGACTCAAAGTTGCGAGATCATCCGGGCTATCTCCAATCGGACAAATTGGTCTCCCATTTAAAATGCTTTCACACTGTGTTGTAAATGTATGCAGAGCATCATCATCTAATAATCTCTCCCCAGCAATTGCTCTCATCAATTTTCGAAAAGATCTTATCATTCTTTCCCATGCTCCATTTGTATGTGAAGCCAAAGGTACAGAAAAACACCATTCAATGTTTTGCTGTTGCATAACTTTAGAAATTTGATTTTGATTCCAATTTTGAATCCCTTCACGAAGTTCTCTCTCAGCACCAATGAAGTTTGTTCCATTATCACTGTACATTTTCCTTGGTCGTCCACGTCTGTTTATAAATCTCTGAAACACATTTATGAACGATGAAGTATCCAGTGACTTAGCAATCTCGATATGAACCGCTCGTGTGGCCATACAACTGAACATACATCCATATCTTTTCTCCTCACTCCTGCCTCTCTTCACTAATATTGGTCCAAAATAATCACAGGCAGTTTCCATAAAAGCATGATCACTAGGTGTCACTCGAACCTTTGGTAACGGTGCCATCACTTGCTCCCCCACCTTAGAGTTCCATCGACAGCAAGTAAAACATTTGCTCAATCTTCGACGCACAGTTGCATGTCCCTTAATAATCCAAAATTTCTCACGAATTGCAGATAAAACATGCAAAGTACCACTGTGACCTTCTCTTTCATGATACATGTCAATCACCAAATTAGTAACATAACTATCACTCGGCAAAATTACTGGATATCTACTTTCCAATGGCAAATGTGAACGATCAAGACGACCACCAACTCTCAAGATCCCATCCACAACAATAGGATTCAGTTTCTGTATTGATCTCATCTGCTCATTTCTTGATAATGACTTCTTTGGCGTCCTGACAATCTTTTCTTCCAAAGATGAATGATTATGCAAAGCATCGATTTGTTTTCCAAACTGCTCTCTTTGCACAAATCTTACTATGCAATCAATTGCACAGTGTAATTCACAAATCTCAAAATGTCCTGTTTTCAGCTGACCGACATCTCCATCACCTCGAGATTTAGCCACCTTCCATCTGAGATAAGATCGATATCTCAAAAGCCAAGCTGTCGATCTCTGAAGTTTCTCCAAAGTAGAGTATCTCGAAAGCAAATGCTTGATTGGATTTTCCTTCAAGTTATCTTTGACACAATACACAGATAAATCTTGCTTCAATTCAGGGTCATTATTTAATATGCCACGAATAGGTTTTGATTTTGGCCATAGGCTTTCTTCTCTCATCAAAAAAACAGGTCCCTCAAACCAAATCTTTGCCTTGTCCAACTGATACGGTTTCAAACCTCGAGATGCAATATCAGCCGGGTTACATTTCGTGTCAATATGTCTCCACTGCGAAGGCTCTGATCCCTCATGAATAACAGCAAGACGATTCGCCACAAAAGTATGAAAGCGTCTTGTCGTATTAGTGATATACTGCAACACTGACATTGAGTCGGTCCAATAAATTACTCTATCAATTTTGTACTCCAGCTGAGTCTTCACAAACTGACCCAACTTCACTGCTACCACTGCCGCAGTCAACTCTAGCCTTGGTATAGTCACTGGTTTTGAAGGTGTCACTCTTGACTTTCCCATAACAAAACTGCAATGCACGGTTCCATCAGACTTGTTCAACATTCGCATATAGCATGCACATCCATATCCGGTTTCACTTGCATCACAAAAAATATGCATTTGAATTTCACTAGGGTCATTCATATCTGATGATTTCAAACAACGAGGAATAGAAACACTTTCCAGATGCGGTAAATCTTGCAACCAGTTCATCCAGCAAGCCTTTTCACCATCAGGAATTTCATCGTCCCACCCCAAATCTTGTTTACATAATTTCTGCAGAATTTTCTTCATAGGCAAAATAAATGGCTGCAGAAATCCAATCGGATCAAATATCTGGCTCATGGTAGAAAGCATACCCCGTCTTGTAGTTGGTTTGTCTTTCACATTCACCTTGGTCACGAATTTATCCAAATCAGTATCCCAATATAACCCCAGGGCTCGTTCCACCGGTAGATTATCAAGATCCAAATTCACCAAAGTCTTTGCTCGCTCACTTTCTGGAATTTGCTCAAGCACCTCTCGACAATTGCTGATAAATTTCGTCAGATGGAATCCACCACTTTCCAGTAGAACAGACAATTGCTTAACCAAGTTTATAGCGTCACCACTCTTTGCTAAGGATTTCAACAAATCGTCAACATAAAAATTCTTCAGCACAGTATCAACTACCGATTGTTCAACACCCGGCTCATTATCTGAAGCACATTTCCTCAAGGCGAAACCTGCAACTGATGGACTTGAACGGCTTCCAAATATGTGTACCAACATGGAATAGTCACTTGCTTGAGATGACAAATCATCATTCGGCCACCACAAAAACCGAAGCGAGTCACAATCTTCTGGCCTCACTCTCACCTGATGGAACATAGCCTTGATATCTGCCATCACACCAATTCTTTCTTGTCGAAATCTCAAGAGAACTCCAGCCAAATTATTCGCATAATCTGGTCCTTGTAATAAATTATCGTTTAAGGAAACCCCACGAAAAGTTCCGGCCCCATTGAAAACTACACGGAATTTTGATTGTTTCGTACTATGATGCCCCAAATAAAAAGTTTTGTCACTAGTCACCAATTCATCATTAGGTATTTTTCTCGCATACCCATTGTCCAAGTAATCATTTATCACGCTCTTATAACACTCAAACAATTCTGGGTCTCGAATAAATTTTCTCTTTTGGTACATTAATTGTTTCTCAACCATGGTACGATTATTAGGAAGTTTTACCTCTTTATTCTTCCATGGGAGTCCCACTTCATAATGTCCATTAACTTTACAAACAGTTTTTTCCATGATAGACAATGCCCGCTTGTCTTCAACAGACAGTGAGGATGCAGATTCACATGCATTATCATTAAAATCATGCTCATAAATTTGACACAATTGGCGATGTAAAATATTATCATCACAATGAATAAAATTCACAAAATTATTATCACAATTAGAAACACTCTCTGGGCCAAACAGTGTCCACCCCAACAAGGTTTTCACCGCTCTGGGCTGTCCCCTTTTCCCGCGTTTAACCTCTAACACATCATGGGCATCTGGGACATTTGAGCCTATAAGAAGCTTGACCTCCCTATCCGTATTATCAGAAATATCAACATGGGAAAAATGTGAATACAATTCAGTATCACGCACACTGGGAATACTCGATTTTAAGTTTGGCAAACGCTCAACAGTTAGAACTCTATCCAGCACTAGGGAGTTGCCTGCACCCGTTGCAGTCAACGCTACCTCAAACCCCTCTTGGATTTTATGACCAGTCACAGTCTGCACAGAAAAATTGGTTTTAACCCCACTTATACCTAGCTCCCTCATGAGCCCACTAGTACAAAGGGACACCGTAGATCCCGGGTCTAACAGGGCATAGGTTGATATCTCCCTACCTCCTATGGCCTTACCCCTGACCGTGACTGGCAACACTTTGAGTCTAACATTCCCAACCCCTCCCGTAGCCTCCACGCTACAGGAAGTTGCTCCACATGTAGCTTTCTCACCGGCCCCACTGACCGGAGCACTCGTCTCTTTTCCTGAACAAGAACTTACAGGATTAGTAGAACCACCCGGCTTTTGCCGAGGTGGGAAATGCAGCAGCACATTGTGCTTTTTGCCACATCCATCAACATTGCATAACACATTGCGGGTACACTCATTTGCTTTGTGACCACTCAAAAGGCAATTATAACACAATTCATTTCTGCCCACCCACAATGATCTTTCTTTAGGAGTCATTTTCTTAAACTTCAGGCATTTCCATAATGGATGTTGATTACCTGACCCACAAAAAGGACAATCAAACTTTGCAATGGCCCCCCTACTAGGTATAGCATTGGAATCGGTCACAAAGGAGGACACCCTATCCCTAGTCTTGGGAACAGTCCCTCGTTTAGGACTTCTCGACTTTTTCTGTTCCCTATTCGAACAGACAATCTCCCCATACATGGTAGAAGCACCACGAGCAATTTGCATAACATAATCCTTTAAATCGGAAAACATTGGTTCCCTCCCCACCTCATAAATGCCGCTTGCAATCTTAGCATAGCCAGACTGCAAATCTTCAGGCAACCTGGAAAAAATCTTTTTCAAATTAACACTATTATTAAGATTATCCATACAATCCCATTGGTCAAAAACAATCTCACAATTATCCATTAATGTTACTAACTTATGCAAGTCAGCAGAGTTATTATCACGAAGAGGTTTTCCTTCAATCAATTCTTTCATAAAGGAATCTATAATCATATGTTTTTTGCCAAACCTCTCATTGAGAATGTCTAGGGCCCGCTTGTAACCCCTTTCCCATGGTTTAGTAATTACACATGACCGAATTGCCTCTCTGGCAATGCCCTTCGTACATTTTAAAAGAATAATAAGCTTACGATTTGCTGGAATATTTTCCACATCCACTGCTGCTGTAAATTCACTCAGAAACTCTGGATACCTCAGTGGATCACCATCGAACTCAGGTAGATCAACTTTCAGATGTTCACCCATTGATGCTGGACATGTAGGAACCACCGGATACACAGGAATTGCAGGAGAGCTCAAAGATGTCACTGCTACACTCGAACCGTAGACATTCTGGACAGGAACACTGCTCACACGATGATATTCACCCATTCCAGACACGCCACTCGTGACTGGGAATTGGCTCGCCACCGACACACCACCTGTGGCCGGGGCATAACTCGACACCGGCATGCCACTCATTACCGGATTGTAAACACAATGTCCAGATTGTACAAACGATGTGACAGGAACTTCGGACGATCTCTGCAGTCCAGGATTAGACATGTTTATAGCATTAGTCAATGTTGACGTCATCAATGGCACACGAACATCAGAAAAGTTTGTCTTTACAGGGGAAACCACAGCAGGACTTGATATAGGAATGTTCTCTATTTTTCTTTCAGGAATCGGCTGCAACTCAAATGATGAGGGTTCAGTCTTTACAAAAGGCACATTAGATTTAGGATCATAAATGTTCACAAATTTAGGTTTTGTCAATGGCTCTATCCCACTGACCAAGTTTTCAGAGGCACAACTTGTATACTCCAATTGATTGCTATCCAAATTAGAACTCATGATAGATCCTTCAGTTTCTTCGAAACTCTCAGCTATCAATTTCGCTTCATCTGCAAGATATTCCGCATCCAAAGCTCTTTTTTCAATGTTCAATTTCTCCTTTTCCAAAGTAGCTTGTTCACGTTCACGTTTAGCTTGAAGATCAGCTAGCTTGGCATCCAAACGAGCTCTGGCAGCTACTGATGATCTCACAGATGATTTATTTGAAGATTTACTTCTATGAGAAGCAACACTTGTTTTTCTTGATTTACTAGACACAGAGTTATTTTTGCTGGCGGCAGCATTGTATCGCTGCAAATATTCACCATATAATTTATCACATACCGCTTTCTTTCTGAAAATTTCATCACACTTTACAGTCGCTTCTTCAAACTCAAGCTTGTCCATCTCCAGACCGGTATTGACAGAATTTCGAAAGTCTTCACAAGCATTAATACAGTTCTCAAATGCAGCATCCACAGCTTCTTTTGCACCCACAACCTCTTTGTATTTCTGTGGGTCCAGCATTAGATCCTCAATGGTTTTCAGAAGCTTTGTAAAGTGGCTTTCATATCCCGCACGAGATCTTTTCTTTTTCATTCGCAGTTCAGAAACAATACCATCTTCATCAGACATCTCGCAATATGAATAGCTTTATTCCGTTATGAAATTGTCCACGATAGAATGCAATTATTCTTCGAAATTGTAGAATAACTATGTATTTGAAATTCTCTACGTAAAACGTAGGAGACGAATCTTTATTTGAAATTGTGTAACGCCCGGAATTGGAGACTCAAACTGCGCTACGTTTATACCCAACCACTGTCAAGTACCACGTCCCGGTTCTCCTACAATTTGCAATGCAAACTCGTAACATTAAGTCCCCACTCACAGTCTTGAACTTTTGAACCCAACACCTCAGAAGATCACACGAATTGAAAGAACTTTGTTGTAATATTCCGCTTGAAATCACGACAGAATACGGCAATAACATTCACAATGCACATAGAGTTTGTGGCTCAACTAAAGTTTGAATTTCAATAATACACGCACAGAGTTTGTATGAGTTTGTGATTAACACACTGAGCACTGGGTTTGTGTCAGAGTCTGAGTTTGATTTCAAATATTGATAGATTCCGGGATTAAATAACTAAATAAAATACAGAATAATTAGTAAACATTAATACACAATAAATCCCTGACTATCCTATATCCTAACATAATGATTCCCTAGCTACATTATAAACATAGCAAAATCTACTAACTACAAAACACACTCAACTAAATCCTAAAACACCGGCAAAGCATATGACTGCAGATTGCACCATCACAGCTCGTCTCCGCTCACGCAGAACCGAGAGCAATACAAGAAACTAACTATAGAACAAGAGTCGTCGTCGGTCGATTGCCTCAGCCAATAGCGTGCAAGACAAACATATTGCGACATAGCTACTATTCCCACTCTCTCGAATACGATAAAGAAATAAACAAGAACTACCAAAATGCGACCTGCGTCCATTACAATCCTGATAAAGATCTCTTCGAATTTTCAAGACGTAAAGACGATGATCGATACTAAATATGTGAAAAGAGTATCCGTTGATAGCACAACTCCATAAACTTATACATGATTTGGACAAAACATTCCAACGTTGTGATCACACAAGGTAAACATATAAATAAATAAAATGATCAAATCGACCTAACTCCGTACTTGTAGTGCAATGCGCAATGAATGTAGTGCAAAGTAGAACGACGCACATATTCGTGCGGGAAATCTTTCCAACTATTTTGACAAATTTTAAATATTGTATTTATCATTTCATTATATTGCATATATATTTTGTTTTCTTGAAGCTTCCAATAATAGAAATAACTTATCCTAAAACAATAAATACAAATTATAATGAACAAAAAATAATAAGTTATTATTCAAGGCACACAAAATGATCATAAAATTCCGTGAACAAAAATGATGTTGATCAGTGAGATAATAAATAAGATGAGATTTTATTTCGATTCATTCGTAAAAACAAAAAAAAACATATATACACAAAAGATTAAGGCGAATAATCTGGAAAGTGAACAAATTCTAATAAAATAGGTTTAAAACGTATTGAACGCGTTCACTTACCAAAGAAAAAAGAAAACAAGTCACAAACAAATAAACATGAATATTAACGGCGGTCATTACTCAGGCGTTTCATTTGGTATTCAGGTTGCGTGCAATTATTTCAAAAATAAAACAGTGAATTAAATATTCGCTGTGCGTGTGATGCAGCATGTAAACAAACAATCCGAAAATCCTAGAATGAGGTGCGAATGCATTTTTCCGTTCCATGCTCAAACATATATCTAGTTAAATCTACAACGTTAACACACCAATGTAAAAATCTATTGTGACTTGCTTTAAATAAATATTTTGCTAGTAATTAGAGGTAATTGAGCAAACATTTTGTATCACAGAATGACATAATTATTTCCGCGGGGTCCGAAAATCATTTTTGATGTTCATTCACTTTTAATGTTCAGGAGTGAACGGTTTTTTCAAGTGTAGATTCGGAATCTTCGGCTAGGGTTTTTGTGTGCATTCGCACTTGATGAGCCTTTAATGCACTGGACGTTTTAAAACACTTCGCACAATGTTTACAGGGATGTGGTCGTTCTTCAATGTGCGTCAAGGTGTGTTGTTTTAAATGATTACTCCTCATGAAACTTTTCCCGCAATGCTTACAAGTGAAAGGTCTTTCCCCAGTGTGAATTCGTGTATGCTTCTTCAAATCCCAAGCCATGGTGAAACACTTTCCACATGTTTGGCATTTATGTGGCTTGATTCCTGTGTGGGTTAGTGCATGAGCCTTTAATTGAGTGGACGTTTTATAACACTTTTCACACTGATTACAGACATGAGGTTTTTCTGCCATGTGACTGAAGATATGTTCTTTTAAATGCCAATTCCTTGCAAAACATTTCCCGCAATGCTGACATTTGAATGGTTTTAGACCACTGTGAATTCGCATATGCTTTGCCAAATCTCCGCTCAGGGTAAAACATTTCCCACAGGATTTGCATTCATATGGCTTGATTCCTGAGTGAATTCGCACATGACCTTTCAATTGACTGGACGTTTTAAAACACTTTTCACACTGTTTACAGGCATAAGGTTTTTCTCCAGTGTGAATATAGATGTGTTCTTTCAAATGGCTACTCCGTTTAAAACCTTTTCCGCAATGCTCACAAGTAAATGGTTTTTCCTCGGTGTGAATTTTATTATGCCTCGTCAAATATCCGGGCATGGCAAAATGCTTCCCACAATATTTACAAGCATATGGTTTCTTGCTTTTGTGGATTCGCACATGAACTTTCAAATACCCCAACGTTGTGAAAGATTTTCCACACTGTTTACAAGAGTAAGGTTTTTCTCCAGTGTGAAGTACTAGATGATTTTTCAAAGCGTCTCTCCTTGAATAACATTTTCCGCAATGTTTACAAGTATGAGGTTTTTCTCCAGTGTGTACTAAAATATGTCTTTTCAAATACCCACTTTGAGCAAAAGATTTTCCGCATTGTTCACAAGTACATGGTTTTTCATTGGTATGTGTTTGGGTATGCTTTTGCAAACTTCCAGATTGGGCAAAACACTTCCCGCAAAAATTGCAAGTATATGGCTTCATTCCTGTGTGAATTCTCTCATGAACCGTTAAATGCTCTAACTTTGCAAAAGACTTCCCACAAAACTCACAGACAAAGGGTTTCTCTCCTGTATGGCCTCTTGTATGTATTACTAAATGACTTTTAGTTCTAAATGACCTTCCGCAATGTTCACAAACATGAAATTTTTTCGCAGTGAGGGTCTCCATATTTCTATAATTTGCTGCATTTGTTTGTAGTTGGTAGTCTTTAAAATATTACAAAAAGCTAGTTAGAGGAACAATAGTGTCCTTGGAATAAATTTGAAACCATTCACTTATTTCTACTTGATAACAAGAAGTTCTAAAATAATTTGTGCCAAGGTAGGATTACTATAATGGTTTTCCGCTTTCCCTATACTTCAGCCTGATATCAGAATTACACCTATCATTTTACATATCTCTAGAGCGGCGTCACGGTGTGAGGCTAAGCTTTAGTTAAACCTCTATTACTCTGCGTTGGTTCGCAAGTTGGAATCCCATGCGACAATAGTTATGTGCGGGAGGATTGCTGTAGGTTAGTTCGATGGGTTACGACTTCCTCCACCATCAAGTCCATGCTTCCGAATACAAATAACTACCGTAACCTATCTCATACCCGACATGGTAACCGGACAGGGTTCGTCATAAGGTTTAGCTGTTTTATCGACTTTCCTATCCTAGAATCCAGCACTGAAGTTCAAAAAAATTCTCATACTATTTACCCTGTCCATTTCACTAATGAATAGCGTTTTAGTCAAACCATACTGGTCATGAACATGATTGCACAAAGTTCTGAATAGGAACCATGTTTGAACGGAGCTATATGGCATCCATAGCAATAAATATATAATAGTAGGGGTGGGCAAAATGGAATATTCATTTTCGAAGCGAATAATTTGAATATTTTTAATGAATACCGAATAGTCGAATATTATATATAGACAACACGAGGTCCAGAATGTCAGTCGATACTACCTTTGGAAACTATTGGAGACATTGAAAAGTCGGCTACAAAGCGTGTTTTTACTGTTTAATTTCGTCATAATCGCTGATTGTTTTTGTCACCGTGACCGTTTTTGCGACGATAAATAATCTATATTACCGCCCTTTCTGTTTTTTGCAAGTATTAATTCTTTGGGTCGGCGGACATAAAAGTTTACATTTCGGGTTTACCCGTGCGTTCACGTCGGCAACAGCTGCTTAAACCATTAAGGATTGATTTCGAAGCCCAAATTAATATTATTCTAATTTTAATCATTTGCGTTGGCTTTCATATTAGGTACTTATCAACGTTTGTAAATTAAGCGAACGGTAATATTATTATCGATACCGGGATGCAGATATTTATTAGGACAATACCGTAATTAACTTTGCTATGCTTTTCTATAGTGTCTATGTTACTTTACAGATAAACCTCTCAAATCTGCGATTGCACTAAAATATTTTGGCAATAAAGGCATTTCCGCGTGGCCCTATGACGAGATGACGTTAATAAACAGCGCTTCTTGAATTTTAATTTACATATGCGACCCAATGCAAAAAAAATTGCACTTTTGTCATTTTGTGCCTAATAGATGGCCAGGCGCTCTTTCAAGTTCCGAAGTTTTCTTTCAACAAACCTTGCGACCATTATAGCTAATATCATTACCGAGTAATTCACAATTTTATTTATGGAATTTGCAAATTCACTTTTACTTCTCTTGACGATTTTGATAATGTCACGCCCTATTTATTAGGGCAAAAATGTTAATATAACGAATGTAATCATTTCCGATGATACAACAATTCACATAAACAAGACAGTGCGCGTTGTTACATCGAAATTCACGATTGCTTTTACGCTATACTCCTGTTCACGATTTCTACACTCCACCTGCCTTGATGCCCGAGTGAAATGTTTACATTTTATTTTTGAAACATTATTGGGTCAAAAATGAAAGGGATCACTGAAGGAATTATTTGAAAGTACATTAAAAGAACCAGTGGCGCAGCCAGGGGGGGTTCGGGGTCGAAACCCCCCCTTCTGAAATTTTCAGAAAACTAAAAAAATCCAAATGCACACAAAATTTACGCAGGAGTTTCTTATTATAATCGCCTAGTGTTTTCGTAAGCGTTACGTGATTCTTTATTCAACATCATCTTTATATCGGTTCCGTAAATTTTTTAAAACAAAGTATATCCTTTGTGTGCGACGAATCCACGATAATCAGTTTTTCTCGCAGTACCGTGCCTTCGGTGAGAGAAACGCGTTACCAAAAGTTAGTTACGCCCTTGCGCGGAAATTAAGAACGCACGGGGAAAATTCATCAATACGCCCGCGCCCTTTGCATTCAGTGCCCTCGTTTAAACTTGGAATGCGCTAATAGAACACATTGAATTTTACTTTATTTTATTAGGTATACGTTATTTACATTTAAAATTCAACATTGACAGAAAATTTTTGTGTCCGTCCGTACTCATTCTGTCGTCCACATACGATACTTGCCCACTAAAATACATACGATGCCCACTAAAATTAAAGACACAATTTATTACACACGCAATGATTTTTATTTTTCAAGTTTTTTTCAATTTCCGACGGGACCGCACATCTTTTTCCAGATCATTATCATATTTGAAATTATGGATTTAAAGCATTTAAATTGTAACGAAAACATGATCCTATTTGGAAAAAAAAAATTGATGATAGTTAAGGAATTTACTAGTAAAATCATGGGATTATTACATTAGTAAGGTTATGTAGCAAAGCGATAGAATCGGATAAATGTCACGAAACAGCCTATAATCGAGACATTCACGACCGAATGAAAATCAGACATGATCGAGCAATTTGTCATACATGTTTGCGCTGGCCAATTTAAGAATAGTACCGTCGTCTAACATGGCGCGCCTATAAATTAGGATACACGATCGAGTTACACGCAATCGCGCATTGAAGTATAATGTAATTACTATGGCACGGCATTTTGCAGTTATAAATTATACTTTCGATGCCGCATCATCATAAGAAACATGTTTTTATCAAGTTACATTAAACCATTTGTGACGCGTAAAGCATCATCAGCAGTATCAGCATAAAATATTTTATTATGTTCGGTATGTTGTGTGTTTATGTGGTATTGTTTGGATGTCTGTGGTTTCCATGGGTTTTATACACTATTTACTTGTTCTTGTTTAGTATGTTTTTTATATTCAGATATCTACATTAACGTTTCAAATGTCTTCATAAACAATATATATTTTTCGCAACCGATAAATCAATATGAGCTAAAAGTCACATTTACCGAGTACCGTAACCGCGGCGGTTGTTAAAAAGGGGGTTGCTGTTAAGACGACAAAATTTATTTTTGAGTACATCTCAAATTTGTCGAATTCGCGAAATAACAATATACAATCGGACAGTTTACCACACATTTTTATGTCCGCGGAATTCGGTGTTGTTATAGTTAGAGCGGCTCTTGTTTTGTCGACGCAACCGCAGGTTAAATTGAAGACAATTAAATTAATAAAGCAGGACATTTCAAATATGCCCTTATCGGTCATGGGTAGGGGTGAGCAAAATCGAATATTTTTTTTTAATCGAATAGTTCGAATATTTTTTACGAATACCGAATGTTTTTTAAATACAACGGGGGTCCGTCAGAGGTCGATACTCCCTTCGAAAATTAGAAGAAACTTTGAAAAGTCAGCAACAAAGCGTTTTTTATTTACTGGTTAAATTCATCAAAATCGCTAATTGTTTTTATCGCCGCGATCCTTCATATATTAGGTACACCCGTGCGTTGCCGTTGAAAATTTTTTAAAACTGTAAAAGTCGACAATAACGCGTGCAATAGCATTTTGCTATAATCGCCGATTGTTATTATCAGCGTGACGTGGTATTCAGGCCGTAAACAACTTTATGTTGGTTTTATTTTCTCTAAATCAAAAATTTTCCACAACGTTGTGCGACGTTAATGATGAAAATTATTTTATTTTTGTACACAAACGGAATTGCAAATCCGGCGATAGTTTAATTAATATACGTTCATCGGCGGCGAGTTTCTGAGGACAACGCAAATTTTTTGATTGAAAAGCGGCAATATAAAATACTGAAAATAAAACTTTAAACATTATGAGTTTTCTGGAGGCCTGCGACAGTTTAAAAACGCCTTTTTATACATTGAAAATCGCAAAATTTCGTGTGCCTCTTGCACACATTATGTTTGGTCGGCGTTTAGAAAAGATATCGTCACTAAAATCGAAGCACTGTTAATTGTGGGCGGGATTGGCCATATTATCCATTACTATTACTTCAAATTGCCGTAGAAAATTTTCTTTTCAACATTATACAAGGTTTGAAACGGGACAATTTTCCCCGGGTTGTGATGATATATATAAGATAATCAGTCTAAAGTATATTCAATCAATTTTTATTGTGCTAAACTAAATTTTAACCTGAGATATTACAGCAGATTTATGGATTTTTTGATGTTACAAGTCCTGAAAATAAGGAAATCAAAGCTTTATATATTCGAGCAGTTTACCACACTTTATGTCCGCAGATTGCCGTGATAATTTGAAATTGTGAAAATTTTATTTTGTCGACTCAACCGCTGGTTAAATTGAAGACAATAATAAAGCAAGACATTTTAAATATGCCCTTATCGGTCACAAATTGATTACTTTGCACAACAGAAAACTCATTATTCATTGTAAAAGTCGGCTCTTTTAACAAGTGGCCTAATCGCGGCGATGAATATGTATTTTTGATTAAACGATATACTTTATATGTATTTTCATTGTACAAAATGAAATTGTACTCTACGGGATTTTATATCAGTTATTGAGATTTTTCTAACGGTGATAACGAGTTCGCAAGATTCCAAAAATACCTAATAAAATTAAATGCACCCGGCAGTTTATCTCATACTTTTATGTCCACAGATCGCCGTGGCATTTCAGAGAAGTAATGTTTTAATTTTGACTTAAGAAGAAGCAACCGCGAGTTACGTTTGACATATTTAAATTAATATATAATAACATTTTGGGATCCCGTAGTTGTCATGGATTGATCATTTTACGCAACAGAAAAATCAATATATGCTGAAAAAACGTCTCTTTAACGAGCGCATAATCGCGATGACTGTTACAGACGGCAATGAGAATTCCCGATTTTTCAAATACATCGTCATACGTTTATAATTTACAGAACGTTCTTAAATTAAAGCAACGGTGGGGACCTATTTTGCAAAATAAGGAAATGAAACGATACGTTAGGCGTGAAAAAAAAACAAATAACATCATAACGCAAAAAAATTTGTCGCTTTTGTATGTTAGCGAGAGCCGTTTGTGAATTCACGATTGATTTGGCGACGCGCGAATTCCTTGTTGAAGCAAAGCGGCGCAGGTCACGAGATACCGAGTATTCGAATAGTAAAATAGTAATATTTTGATATTCGATTCGATATTCGGTATTCGAATATTTTGCCCAGGCCTAGTCATGCGTTGATTACTTTGCACAACAGAAAAATCATTTTTCGTTGAAAAAGTAGGCTCTTTTAACAAGTGGCGCAATCGCGGCGGTGAATTTGTAATTTTGATTTACTAGTATGCTTTATATCCATTTTCATTGTTATGAAGTAAAATTGTACTAAACGTGATTTTATATCAGATATCGAGATTTTACTAAAGGCGATAACGAGGTCGCAAGATTGCAAAAATACGTATCAAAATTAAATACATCAGGCAGCTTGTCTCATATTTTTATGACCACAGATCGCCGTGATATTTTACTGCAGTAATGTTTCTATTTTCACGTAAGAAGTCGCAACCGCGAGTTACCTTGGACACTATTAAATTAATATATAAGGACATTTTAAAATCTCGTAGTTGGCAATAATTTAATATTTAGGCAACAGGAAATTCATAATACGCTAAAAAGGCGGCTCTATTAACGAGCGCGTGTTCGTGGTGGCTGTTACAGACAGCACTGGAAATTTTCGATTTTGAACCCCTCCCCCCTTTTGAAAATCCTGACTGCGCGCCTGAAAAGAACTACCGTATGTCCTGCCATTTCTTTCCTGGTCATAGCTTGTTCGTGATATACTATGTATGGTTTCATGCGAAAGTTATTTCGAATTTTCGTCAAACAAATTTATGTTTGGTCCATGCATGAAACGGCTAATCATGTGCCGCCAATCATACGGAGTTTAAAATCTGGGATATTTGTTTTGAATATCTCATCTGATTTGACGTTTTTAAATTTAGGGAACGGTGTCGGTGCCTTTTTTTGCAAAATAGAGAATTGAAATGAACGATTGAAGCGAAATAAAAACAAATAACACAATGCAAAGACGATTTTTCATATTTGTCTGTTAGCGACCATTGTAGGTGAATTCTCGCACAATTCACGATCAGTTCAGAGATGTTCTGTGTCCAAGTGAACCGGCAGATCACGTGGTACCCGATATTCAATTCGAATAGTAAACGAGAATATTGGTTGGAAACCGAAGACTTATCCATCGATAGTTAGGGGATCCCCCAAAACAGAAACTGCAGTTTCGATTCATCCGCTCTTGTAACTTGCGCACCGCACACACACACTCGGCGGGTCTCAAAATTCTCTCGCTTCACAAAAAACAAACATACAAATACTTATCAACATACTTACCGATCAAAATCGATAAGTAATAATTTAATATTCGGTTTGCTATTCGAATATTTTGCCCAGCCCTATATAATAATATACTTGTTCTCACCAATTAATCTTCAAGGAGCTTCAGTGTCATGTTTGGTTATTTTGTTACATCCACCATTGAGTATAAATAGAAACTACATTATGTATATACATGGAAAGGGTTAACTAAATTATCTGTATTTGGTATTATAAAACTTTATTTATTTAGCCTTTGTAATCAGCAAGACAGGAGAGGAAACGCTTGTCATCCTAAACTGCCTTGAAATCCGGGTATCTTGATAAATTTAATCCTGGAAAGAGGAAGAAAAAGGCTGAATTAAAACAATTATTTTGTAAGTCAGGTTAATACACTCTTCTAGATATTTCTCCACAAGTGATTTTTTAAAGCTGTCAAATATTTGATGCAAAAATATGCTCCCATGTTAAACTTGAGAGACGACATAAATTCAAACAAATACTGATATACGCAGCACAATTTGGAGTTTTGTATATTTACAAAATACGATTTCAAATTGTAAAAGTCATCAGCAAGTAGGGATGGGCAATATAGAATACCGAATCCAGAGGATTCGAATCCAACAGGATCCGATAACAGGATTCGGTTTCCGCCTCCCCGGCGCCATGCGTCAATTGTTTTCTCTAGCATGGAAATTTTTGTATTTCCTGTTTCTAATTTATTAATCAAAGACGAGCGTTTTCTCTCGCGTGGAAATCTCTTTCGTTTAATTATACTTGTGTTTTCTCGTAAAGAACCCGCAAAATCGGTAAACATGAAATACGGTAATCTCACCCGGCGTATTCACAACATAATGACAAGATGACGGCGATGAACACATTACGGCGAAAAGTCGTTATTGCACCATTTTTGCGTTTTCCCGCTTTATTATCTAGTTAGCGTATAACAATAATTATTTGTGCCGACTGGTGACATTCCGAGATAAACTAACTGCAACGATCTTTAATTTTTACAGACGTGCCCTGCTTCAATTTACTTTAATTAAAGCATTTTCGCGACCTGCGATTTTTCCCAAAATATGATTCATGTAAACCAAAAGCCAGGTGTTAAATGTAACTTGGATTAATTTAGATCAAATATTATTTACGAATAATTTTATTACACCATCTTCCGAAATACAAAGTTATATCGCAAAACGCAAAAATCTTTCACATTAAAATTTCACTCTCAAAAGATTACATATTTTTCGGTCCGTTTCCATCGTTCAAGATAGACGCACGTTTGATCGAGTGTCTGTAGTATTTTAGTCGCCGATGAATTTAAAAAAAGTTGCCGCATCTGGCGAAGATAGTGACGTATTGAGTTTGAGTAGGGCCAAGTCTGGGTAGATAATGATATTTAACGATAATCATAGAAAAAGACTTCTTCTTTAGATGTTATCACTTAATAACAAAGTACGAAATCGCGGTTACGGGAACTTGGTTTTATGAGTCTTACTCGCACAGAATAAAAAGTTGATTTCAATTGGTAGTGGTTAAATTTAATATTTCACAACGGCCGCATAGGTTGCAGTGGCCACACGCTGGTCCTGCATCTAATTAATTCTCTGCGGGTGCGTTTTAGTACACTTGGCTTACTATTAAAGTGTGTAAAGCGTGTCTTAATTTAGAATATCAGTATTTAGGGATTAGCCTACATACATTTGGAACAATTGAAGACAAAAAATATTGTAATATTCTTAAATTCTATTGTCCTAGCAAATGCCTGTTCAGTATCAAATGAAATCCAATGTTCAGGACATTTTCAAATAAATAATACATTGATAGTAATGCATTTACAATTTTTTAACATCTAAATCCAGCGATGTGAAAATTCCCACTATTTGAATAAGTATGAAAATAGAATAGGATTCGGTATTCTGGATTTGATTTAACTATTCTAGAATAGTAAATTATTCTATATTGCCCATCCTTATCAACAAGAGTCTCCAAACAGCTCAAAAATACGACTTTCAACAAAAGCGTACTGATGCACGAAGGGTTGTCCATCAAATAAAAGGGGACATTTGAAAACACTTGTAGAAACCGGCCAGGGAATCACTCCCACATTCAAGAAATTACAAAATACAAACAATCATCTATACAGAGAAAAATAACAGAAATAAATTGCTTTGGTATGAATAGAAAGGAGCGATACGACCATGCGATTATCGAGTCCCACCCTATTTGTTGATGTGATTAAGGTTCATATTAAAGATGATTATTAAAAAAGTTGGTCTGTCAGAAAATAGTTTCACAAATTCAATCACAGAAAACTTCATATTGGGGGAGGTCATGTTTTGTTGAGAACTCAATTACACAATAAAATTCTATCAGCTTTACATGATGGTGAATAATAATATATATAAACCTTCGATATCATTGGATGGTGGCTCGAAAAATGTATCACCAGCATGACAAAAGATTAAATGCAGCTCAGTAGAATCACTAACATATTCGAGCCAGTAATAAAAAATATTTTATGAAAACAGAACACAAAGGAAATTTCTAATTTCCCACTATGGCAACATTAATAATAAAAAGAGAATATAAACATGATAAGCAATGACAAAATATAAAAATGATCCATAACTAAACTCAGTTCAAATGATTAAGTTGAAGAACTTATCTTTTTAATGACATGTCAGGCTAAATATCAATTTGAAAATTATCTAAATAAGATAATCAATCCTTGAGATTGTTTTCATTAAAAAAAAATGCACCATTATTAAGTCATGCCAGTTTCTAACTAATATATGATGAAAACAAAAGTATTTCGGTGCTCCCGAAGTATGCAAACCAAGATGGCGGACATCGGAACGTAACATGGGTAACAGGTTAGGGTTAGGCGATAATTTTTTTCCAATTTTCCTTATTTTAGTCCTATTATTATTCGAAGACTAGCCAAAAGACTCCCGTATTATTATAACTCTAATTATGGCCTAACCCTAAGCTAGTACACATATTACATTCCGATGTCCGCCATCTTGATTCGCATACTTCAGGAGCCCCAGTATTTCTTCAATCTCAAGCTTAAGCCCTTTTTAGAATTCGTCAAGTCTCGCGCCATATCTTAAAAATAACTAGCTAACAATAAGCTACAAACAGCAGATAGTGAGGCGGAAGTATGCCATAATTGAAGAACATGTGGTCTTCGATGGAATCACAATCTCTAAACAATAAAGAAATGTAAATATCCAAAATAAGGCGGGCAAGATGAAATCTAAAAAATATTTCTACGCCCCTCTTACGGCGCGCGCCCAACCAATTGAGAACCACTGCTTTAGATTATTATTACATGAGTAAAGTTTATAAGGCTATCGTGCACCGTTCATCACATAAGCTTCTATTTTCAATTAATACCTTGTCATATATTAATATTAAGATAAACACTTCAAAGTATTTCTCATACGTTTTATCTTATAATTTCAAAGATGGTTGACACCAATGTTTTCTTTATAAATATTTTTTGCTGTTGATTCAAACAAATTTGTGTTTTGTAGAGATGTGTTGTTTTAAATGACCTTTCCTTGTAAAACATCTCCCACAATGCTGACAAGTAAAAGGTTTTTCCCCAGTGTGAATTATGGTATGCTTATCCAAATTTCCAGAATTTGTGAAAGATTTCCCACAAGATTGACATACATATGGTTTGATTCCTGTGTGGATTCGCACATGAACATTCAATGCGCCTGAAGTTTTAAAACATTTTCCACACTCAATACAAGAGTAAGGTTTGTCCCCAGTGTGAATTCGGATATGTTTTCCTAAATCTGCATTTTGTGAAAATCGTTTTCCGCAATGTTTGCAAGAAAATGGTTTGTCACCGGTGTGGATTCGGTTGTGGCTGTTCAAATGTCCGGCAGCCGTGAAACATTTCCCACATGATTTGCATGCATATGGTTTCATTCCTGTGTGGATTCTCTGATGAACCCTTAATTCACGTGATGATGCAAAACACTTTTCACAACAGTCACAAACATAGGGTTTCTCTCCTGTATGACCTCTTGTATGTATCTGTAACTTACTTTTACTTATACAAGTCTTCCCACAATGTTTGCAAACATGATGTTTCTTTCCAGTGAAAGCTTCCATTTGTTACTTATCGACCTTAAGATCGGCGGTAAGTATGTTGATAGGTATTTGTCTGTTTGTTTGTCTGTTAGATGAACGCGATATCTCACGAAGGCGAAGTCTCCAAACTTTGCATGTGCATTCATCATATCTCGGACCAGAAGCCTACTAATTTTGGATGAATTATGTTGTATAATTAGCGAGTTACTAATTATTTAATGATGGGACACGTGATGTCACTATAGAGTCATGAATCATTGATAAGTCTTCAGTCTCCGACCGATATTCTCGTTTGCATTTTGTAACATTTACAACAACACAAGATTGGTGTTATATGGGTACTAAGACCCAAGAAAAACTACAAAAAACTGTCACCTGTTAAAAGAATGTGGATTTGATTAATATCTTACTAGTTTTTTAGGTCACTTAAAAAATGCATTCCTTATCAATGTTAATTACATAATATGAAACAGTATGTTTGTTGGATCTGAAATCACCCCCTACCACACGATATTGCTGGATAGTTACTTCTCTGTGGAAATCAGAAGTTATCAAACTGTGGGACACGAGGGGAAGCGAAGCTAAAAAAGAAAATTATTTGATTTAATCGTGGCAGTCCTATTTTTAATATTTACATTTCTTTATTTTGGATATTTGAGTCCACATATTCTCAACGCGCTTTTTGGACATAACAATAACATACTTTCTTACATACTATTATGCTATTTGTAGCTTATTATTTTTGAGGTGGGGTGTGAGACTTGAATACCTGTGGTAAGACTGTATCTCTTTTAATATAGGGGAAAGTGGAGTGGTATGCGCCACCAGTCTTTGTTAAGCTATTTTGGTACTTTGCATAAAATAACCATGATTTTACTCACTGATGTACTTATAAAACATCTAACTCTTCCCGCATTATTTTGGACAAAAGTGAATTTTTCTACAAAATGTCATTTACACCAAAACATTATCATGCGACCCGAGGCAAGGGGTGTGTGAAGTATGGGCCGACATTAAAAACAAAAAAGAAGAAACCCACTGCTTACAATGAAATATGACTTCATTTAATCCCTAACCCCATGAATTACCTTAATATGTTTTCTATAATTAATGATGTACCGATAGTTATTTTTTAAATAAAACAGGACTAATGTAATATTCAATGAAATATCATCAATTGCAAAAGGCATATAGGATAGGATTTACATATTTATCCCGGGGGAGAGAAAAACCGATAAGACAGCTTATCCATATGGCGAACCACGGCCTCTCGTCCGGTTACCATTCCAAGTCGGGTATGGAATTAGTTATATTGTTTGTTTTCGGAAGCATGGACTTGGTGGAGGAAGCCGTAACCGACCAGCGGTTACGTGAACCACCCAACGACGGCGAGGAGTCCAGCAATCCTCTTGCACATAACCATCCCTACATGGGATTCGAACCTGCGAACCCACGCAGAGTAATTAGAGGTGCGGTGGCGAGCGTATTCCTAACGCTTAGCCCGTTGAGCCACACCGCCGCGCCTATACATCCTGATATACCGGTACAGCCTGAAGATGGGACTGCTGAATATACGTTCAGTCTATTTTGTACACAGCTTTTTTCGATATGGCCTTTCACTAGCTTTATTTCTGCATTCAAGTACCGGTACCGTAAACGCAGGTAACTTCGGATGGTTTATAACTTCGGATGAAATTTTCAATCGTTTATATCTCGACTAAATTACGTCATATTCTGCTTCTGGCAGTTTCTATAGAGAGTCCTTATATATCTTAATCTCTTATCATATTCAGTCGCCTAATAGGATTTATTTTTTGACACAAAAAATCACCTTTTTGCCAAAAATTGACACCTCGCTTTTGAGCGGCTAAAATAGCGACTTCTATCGACGCTAACTTCACTAAAAGACCGTCAATCGCTGGAGGGCATACACAATGTACAAGGAAAATTACAGTGATCACGAGATGTCGTACGAGATTCAAGTAAAATATATTATTTTGATTTAAAAATTTCGTCAAAATATCGACGTTACGGTGCTTACGCTGAACGTGACGTCAACAACGTGATTCAATTTCGCTCCATTTAAGGCCGACGTCACATTGCGTAGCTCGTGCGTGACTCGCTGCGACATTTGAACGCCAGACTATGTGGCGCCACGTGTAGTTAAATATAAAGTGAAAACTCCTACCTGATCCTCGTCACCAAATCCTACAAAAACTTAATTATAGCCCCGGTCATATGCTGTTTATTTATTGTGAATCCGATTAATGCACATTAAATTTGTGTGTTAACATTTCGGCATCCTTCGACCGTATAGATGTTGTTGATACGTAAGGCTGATGAGCAGCCAGATACGCGTATCTATACTATCACAATGACAAGGTTTTACGATCGGCGATGATAATATATTAAGAGTAGAATGTTGCACAGGTGAGCATGAAACTCTGCACAGGTGCACACAGCAGGAGGTTGGAGGTTTTTGGCGTTTTATCCGTTTCATGTCTATCTGCCTGTGAATACATTATATCTGAATTATCAACACGGCCAAAAGCTACACTGTTCCATATTGTTGTCCACTTCCATTTTTTTACTTTTACTACCTACCGTAATTCATCATCCATTTTCTTTTTTATTATTTTCATTCGTTTCATTTTTGTTTTGTATTAAAAATTGTTTTCCATTTTTACTTTTACGACTTATTTTATTCGTCCGTTTTTTATTTTCATTTGTCCCATGTTGTCTCATTTTTGTTTCGTATTGAAACGATCATAATAGCAAGATATAGCACTTTCATGAAATTAAGAATAGTCAAGAGATAAATGGTTTAGTTTTGCGAAACGTCAGGAATAGGGCTGGGCAAAATTATTACATGCGTTGTATTTTGAAGCATTTAGCGGTAATAATTATGGCGCGACACTGTCAAAATCGTCGAGTAAAGTGCTGAGTTCGCAAATTCCGCAGATAAAATTGTGAATTAGTCGGTAACGGTTTTAGCTATAATAACCGTTGGGATATTGTTTTGTTCAAAAAAAAAGTTAAAACTTGAGGGAAATAGTTATAATTAGTGTCCGACCCGCTATCAGGACCAAAAGCCTTATGACAAGTATAAATGCATATCGGCCGATTTATTCAATCATTATTATAAATAAAAATTCAGTATTCGCACAATCGCGGGTGCAAAGCATAACAACATCAATCATCGTCTTAATAAATATCTCCATTTCGGCGACGATAATAATATCACCGTTCGCTTTAAACTCGAACGATTAATAGTATACAAACGGTGATAAGTAAGATCAAAGCCAACACATAAGATTAAATCAGAACAAAATTAATTTGGGTTTTGAAATCAGTCCTTCTTGTCTTCAAGAGCTGTTGCCGATGTGAACACACGGGTACACCAGATATATAAAACTTTGATGTCCGCCGACCCGGAAGAATTAATAATCACAAAAACGGCCGTCATAGATGAACGTCAGTGTGCGACACGCAAAACGGATCACGGCGTCGTAAGTTCTACGCAGCGACGTTATCACGCGTCACTGATCACGCAGACATTTCTCTCTCACGACGAAGTGACGCAAAGCGAAAAGTGGCCATCCGAAGTTATAAACATTTGGAATACAGATCGGCAGGCAAATAAAGTCAATAATTTGAATGAAAAAAAGTATTGATTGATATGAAACCGAGTTTATCGCGAGGAGAAAGGCTTCAATGTATTATATTCCAAGTTTGGCTTCAATTGAACAATAAACGGCGGAGAAATTGTTCATAATATAGTGAAATCATCCGAAGTTACCTGCTTTTACGGTATCTTTCATTAAATTGTCCTTCTTTTTTTTTGTTTGTCAGTTTGTTTTCAATATTTAACTCTGCCCTCAAATTAACACTGTTTATGCTACCCACACAGTTAGACAGTATCAATTACGGTAATAAAGTACCGGTATATATATGGTCAACCTAGTGAAATACCGTACCGTTAATCGCAGCACGACGTTCACCTAAAACGCCCAGCTTGAAAAAAAATAAAATTAAAACGCTCAGCTTGAGCGGGTCTCCTCGCCAGATTGGATTCCCTGACAGATGCACGCGAGAGGGCGCTAGCGCTCCGCAAAAATGCACGTGAGCGGAGTCGGTTTCGCACGCCGAAAATTTGCAATTGCTCACCAATGAAAACCACCTGAAATGGTATTTGAATCAATAATCTAATAATAAAAAGATGCCAGCAAATTGTAACTCTACAATTGTTGATTATACACTAGCTTGTAAGATTTGATCTTATCGAAAAATTCTTAGCAAAAATACCTGGCGGTGTGGCGCTGGTATACTTATGAGTGAAGCAAAAAGTCGATCAACAACTATATTTGCTGTCTACCTCAACATCAAATTTTACCAGCAAAAAGTTTAACAACAACAACATGGCTTCATTAAGCAACATCACAAAGCCAAAGCCTAAACAACGTTTAAGTAGGAGTCTGCCAGATCCTGGTTTATCACCAATTGGTCCCTTCACTCAAGATCCTGAGGATGTTGCAAACTTTCAGCTTAGTGCTGCAGGAGGCGATTCAAAATAACATCGTAAATCAGCTTCCAAATCTGATAGCGACATGTCTTGCGGATAATTTTAACTCGGCCAACTTCTCCTCCGAAATATTTTCCTCTAAGCCAGGATTGAAAGAGTGTATGCAAGAGCAAATGACATCTCTAAAAGAAATTAAACAAGATATCGCTTCGATCCGAGAATCCCAAAATTTTCAATCCGAGAAATACGATGAGATTTTGGTCAAACAAAAAAAAACAGAAGATATACTCACACAATATGGTAAAAGAATACGAGATCTTGAAGACCTCGTTTATGATCTCGAAGAAGAGCTATTCAATGCCACAGAAAAAATAGAGGAACATGAACGGCGTTCAAGACTAGACAACCTGGAATTTCACGGCATTGCTCCTAAAGTAAATGAGGACACAGACAATCTAGTTATAGAAATTGGCAAGATGATTAATGTCGACATAAAACCTTCTGACATTTCTATTACCCATCGCTGTCCGACTCGCAACTCCAAAATTTACAAGCCCATAGTAGCAAAATTTACTAACCGAAAAATTCGTGCCAAAATCCTAAAGAATCGCCACCTCATTAAAACTTCTGTCAACTCAACATCTATAAGAAACATATCAAAAGTATTTATTGTTGAAAACTTGACTGACAGAAATAAGAACCTGTTCTACCAAGCAAAAGTTCGTAAAAATCAGTGTGGCTATGCTTTCCTATGGACTTCTAATGGAAAAGTGTTGATTAAAAAGAATAAAGACACCAACACCTTGCCCATTGATGATGATGAAGATTTAAATAAAATAAGATAAGTCATATCTTCTTTATAACTCTTTTCTTATTTTTACATGACATCCATTATTCTTCCATGAACCACCCAAATCCCTCTGTAACATGTTTTATTAATACCTGTAGTATGATTTGTGACCCATTTAGCACTTGTAGTGTGACTTATGCCATCCCTTTGCTCCATATGCTATGTATTTTTACTGCCTATAACAGTCTCCATGATGGTGTTTAAGATCCCCAGCGCAAAAATTCTAATCGAACAACCTCATCGGTCCAAGAACTAACTTCTAATCACAACTCGCAGTGGGATTCAGAAAGATTTCATCGCATTTTGCTTCAATCCCATGTCGGTAATTGAAATACCCGGATATCATAAAGTAACATCTAGTTTTCTACCCTCAGATCTCACTATTTTACATTTCAATATTAGATCCTTGGTAAATATGTTGATGACCTAGCTGAACTAATTATATTTTTATTCCCTGCCACAAATTCTTGCGTTGAGCGAAATCAGGATAAAGAGGGACGCCGCCTGTTAATACGTTATAATCCCTGGTTTACACCTTCATCCATGCTCCATCCCCAACTCAAGCAGGTGGTGTGGGGTTCTATATTAAAAATGACATGAATTTTCAAATAACGCAAGAATTTGACTTCGTTTTCGAAAACTGTGAGAACATGTGGATCGAGTTGAAATGCTCTGAACAAAATCCAAAATTCCAATGCCTGTTATCGGTGTTATCTACAAGCATCCCCAGCGTAATATTCCATCCTTCACTGGAGCGATGTATTCTGTATTCGAAAAGCTGAAATTAGCCAAAAAGCAATTCATAATTTTTGGTGACTTTAATATAAACCTCCTCAACACCCTCGATACTCCAACCTCCAAATACTTGGATATGCTCATGTCCAATTTTGTATTCCCAATCATCACTAGACCAACAAGAGTTACTTCATCCTCCCACACCTTAATAGATCACATTTATACCAACACCTTAAAATCATGCTCATCATCATTTATTATAATTAGTGATCTCACCGATCATTTTCCTATTATGTGTACTTTATCAACAACTAGTGCTCAAGTCCAAACAAAAACACGCATGAAGCGTGACATGGCAAAATTTTTCTGCCGACACATTCAGATTGGAAGTTGAGATGATGTGTAGAAATTATGCCAGTGGTATATTATCCAAAGAAAATTTTTAATAGTTCATTTGACCTCTTTCTTAGCCATTTTAAGTGGTTGATAAATAAGCACGCACCATTACGCCCTCTGTCACGCAGAGAAAATAAATTGTATTCCAAGCCCTGGATAACCAGTGGAATTCGCAAGTCCATCAAACACAAAAACGCCATGTTCAGAATAATGTTTCTGAACGGAAACGCATCGCAGCGTCATTACTTCAAAAAATATAAGAATATTTTAACACACTTGCTAAAGAAAATCGAAACAGCAGTACTACCACAATATTCTAGTCAACAACAGAGGAGACGTCAAACGCACATGGCAAACCATCAATGAGATTATAAAAATTAAGACAAGAGAGGTCCCCACCGTCTCAGAATTAAAATTGGAAATGGTACTACTGTGACAGACCCCGTCCATGTGGCCACTGAATTCAACAAATTCTTCTCTTCTATAGGGAAAAAACTCGCAGATGAAATCCCACATAGTACAAATCAAATGCTGAATTCCTGGGTGTCCCTTTACAGAACTCTTTTTTTCTTGAGTCAACATCACCTTTAGAAGTTCTCTGTGTAATCAGGGACCTGAAAAAGGGTAAAGCGGTTGGACCGGATGGTATTTCCTCTTATTTTTTGAAATTAGTTTGCTGATATCATATCACCAGCTTTGAGTAATTTCTTCAATTCGTCATTCAATTTAGGTATATTTCCTTCTTCATTAAAACTTGCTAGAGTTATACCAATTTTTAAATGCGGGAAAAAAAACAACCCTTCAAATTATAGACCAATCTCTATTTTATCTTCAATTAGCATCATAATGGAAAAGTTGTTGTATACCAGAATGATGAGCTATTGTACTAAATTCAGTTTGATAAACAAATGTCAATTTGGATTCCAGACCAAACACTCCACCAGTCATGCTATCCTTGATCTGACATCATTTATATATGATAAAATAGACAAAGGCGAGTATGTTTGTTGTGCCTTCCTAGATCTAAAAAAGGCTTTTGATACCGTAGACCACTCCATTCTCATTCACAAGTTAAGACATTACGGTTTTAGGGGTAATGCAGGAAAACTGTTATCCGATTACCTGACAGGCCGGTTTCAATTTGTTGAAATAGGTCCCCATAGATCCCCAATGTTACCCATCCACTGCGGAATTGTTCAGGGCTCAGTAGTTGGCCCATTAGCGTTCTTATGTTTCATAAACGACCTTTCCAACAGCTCGAATCTTTTGAGTAAACTATTTGCAGATGATGCATGCTTGCTCACCAGCGCGAAGGATCCGACTACACTTCAGCTAAATATGAAACACTGAAATAAATAAAATTTATGAATGGATGTTATGCAACAAGCTAACAGTGAATATAGATAAGTCAAAAGTCATGGTGTTCAGTTCAAAATCTCACACTAGATACCCCAACCTCGCAATTGAAATCAATGGCAGAAATTTAGAAGTAGTCCAGTCTTATAAATATCTAGGACTCAATATCGACCACCAATTAAAGTGGAACACCCACACTGCTGATTTGCATAGAAAACTATCAAGAACGGTAGGGATCCTGGGTAAGCTTAGATATTACTTACAGGATACCACACTAAGAACCATTTACTTCGCACTTTTTCAGGCCCACATTCAGTATGCCATAGCGGCATGGGGTTCTACAGCTAAAGTAAACATGCGTAAATTGGAAGTCTTACAAAAAGGGCCATTAGAATCCTTTCTTGGGCACCTTTACGTTCCAATTTAAACAATCTATATTATAAGCATAGAGTACTAAAATTACATGACATCTACAAACTAGAAATTTCTAAGATTATGCACCAATTCCAAAACAATCAATTGCCAGCGGCTTTCGACCAGTATTTTCTCACCCTAACTTCAGTGCATAAATATAACACCCGCTCCTCAACTAAGAGTAATTTTTTTGTGCCTCGCTTCTCACTAAGCAAATCCCAAAATTCTTTGAAATATCAAGGTGTTTCAATTTGGAACAGTCTACCCCAAGACCTACGTGAGTCATCTTACATGACTTTCGAATTTAATTATAAAAAATTCCTGATTTCCTCTTACCAACCCACCTGAATTTTCCAAGTCGCTGTTTCATATTTTATCCTTGCTTTGTGTCCATCAAGGTCATATTCAACTCGATCCACAGCCTGCCTGTAATGAAGAGACCTGTTTATTTGCTGTTAAATGCTTGTTGTATTTTATATATTGCAATGTTACTGTGAAATCATCATAATTCATCCCTATTCTTGTTATACTCTATATTTATTGATGTGCGCAATCTTATAGAATTTTTGAACTGCTTTATTTATTGCCAGTTTTCTTACCTCTAATCTAACTCAGATTTCCGTGGTCATACAGTCACACACAAGTGCCTATCTTTGAGTTAACGCCTGATAAACAACTATCTCTTAATACTACAAGCGTTAACTCGTATTATTGTTATTTATTAAGATATTATTATCAATTATTGGTATTTATTAAGTGCAGCTTTATTTAACTAATATAGCATGATACCTTACCGGTACTATAGTGGTTCTCATCATCCTATTTGTATATTTCTAGTGCATTTTGTTGCCTCATGCGCTTTTGTACTGGATCTATCCTATGATTAATAGCTTAGCATTTACCAGAAAAATGCTTACATTTTACTGCTTTTTTGCCCATTTTCATGTTTACATCTGCCTCCACCTTCGGTAGAGACCTACGATTTTATATTTAAAAATCACTCAAATTCTGAGTGTTACTGAATTCACTTATACTTTCCGGCGGTCTCTACCCTCCTATGCCGTACTTCGGTACGGCGTCAAAATATAACACTATTTCCGCATCGATTGGAATAATTAACTCGACTTTATCTTTCTGTTTGTTATTCAATAACCAACTGCTGTTACCATGGCTACCTCGACCAGTGGTGTCGGGAGTCACATTCTCATATTAAATAGAGTGACACCGTGATATCGGTCACTAAAATGTGTAAAAAGGCCGTCACCATGGCTACCTCGACCAGTGGTGTCGGGAGTCACATTCTCATATTAAATAGAGTGACACCGTGATATCGGTCACTAAAATGTGTAAAAAGGCCGTCTTCGACTTTATTATTTTATTTATTATTCACGACTTTTGCTAGTATCCTGTTTGACTTTTTTCTCACTATGATTTAATTTTTAGACTCACTACCCCAGGGTGACGCTGCTCGATAACCTCTTCTGGTTTATCGCGCCTCCCTTCACACTGAAAGTATTGTTTTATATGTGCTTCGTAGTTATTTTTGTCTATTGTGTACTTTTGGTATGTGATAAAATAAACTACTGACTGACTGGCATCGTGTTCACGTGTTGAATGATGAGAATCCTGTGAAAGTAATTACCCGTATGCGCGAAAAGACTGCTAGACTCCCCGCCAACGTCGGTGGTCAGTTATGATTTTCCCCGCCATCACGGCTGAATATCTGAACTATGTAACTGACCAATTAATCAAAATAATGATTATTAACTTTTAAATCGGAGAATGACGTGGTTCGCCATATGATTAACCCGTAATCCGACCAGCGGTTACGTGAACCACCCTACGGCGGCGAGGAGTCCAGCAATACTTGGTTCACATACTACATGAGTACCAGACTTTGATTTGACAATTTCTTTTTGCAAAAAACCGAAAGAAAGAGCCGTATGTGATATTTTTATTTACAAATTAGACGTAATTTAATTGTTAGTATTCATTACTTAATATGACGCAAGTCATATACTTTCTCTTGGTTGATTTATTGTACAAACAACTATCATTTGTGTTCAGAAATGACAAAGCTACGAGCAGAATTAT